TATCCGATTAGCAGTCCAGGGTCTTCTTCCAAATTCAGCAACAAGGTGAGCCCTCCGAGCACTGCGTGAAGCTGCAACGATCGCCATCTGCTAAGGGAATGGCAAATACCGGTCTTCATTTGTGACAATGCTCGTCTGACGTTCTCAGAAGGATGCTGTGAGTAGTCCACCATGATAAGTAGTCCCTATTGATTGCTATTACTACGGTGTCATTTGTCGTTCAAGTTTCCCCAGGGTGGATGTAAGATCCCAGACTGAGAGCGATGCTTGGAGGGGGGACCCCCTAATGCAGAGTAAGGGAGCGATGCTTGGACGACCCCTTGAATTGATTCAGGGAAAGAGAGCAATGCTTGGGTGACTCATTCCTTGTCGTTTGTTGAATCGATGAGAGAGTTCTTTTGTATGTCTGCTCATTCATGCCAGTGATCGGAGGGTTGCACCTATTTTCTCGTGTGACGAGGAGCCCAAGGTGCCCCCCACCTGCTGCGATTCGAGGGAGGTCGGAGTGACATGTCATCTTAATGGTCTCTGAACATCATGGATGGTGAGGAAGGCAAGACTTCCACTTTGCTTCGTCTTGATGAATGATTATTGACGAGGGTGGCATGTGATTGCATTCGAGCTTCCAAGCTATGCATCGATATGTGCCTCTCTAACATTGTGAGAGCATCGCTTGATCGTAGGTGGTTTGGAAAGATAGACAATCTCGTTCCTCTGCACAAACATGGCCATATACCAGGATGACGAGCTTGACGTAGAAGATGCGCAAGTTATGGAATCTCCACCTTGTGATGGCATGTGTGACCGACCATGATTTATTCTTAGGAGTGAGAGTCCCGAGCTCGGAGCTTGGGCGGGCTCTCACCTATCGATGAACCCATACGTAAGCCATGCACTGTCACGCGCACACAACCTCGGTGAGGGGGCAGCCCTGGACGAACTTGACTTGGAGGTAGCCCTGCACGAACTTGGGCTGGAGATGCGTGTGCGTGACTCGACATGGATGGTGAGGTGATGATCGGTGGCCTCGCCATGACCACGTACTTGGTTTGAATTGTAAAGAAGAGCTTGAACCAGCTTCAGGTAGTCTAGGCTCAGGAGTGGATGGAGAAAACACAGGATGCCTTGAAGGTGCACATCTTGCCTTGGAGAAAATGATCGGAGCATACCCAAGCGTGGCTGCGACCAAAGATATGAAAGTTTCATCCGAGCCTGTATCAAAGTAAGACCAGTTGGAGTCGTTGTCCTGAGATGCAAGTCATAAGGTAGTTGCAGTGTTGAAACATTCCCAGTGATTTCAGAGTTCGCAAGATCTAGGCTCGAGGCCCGGCCACCAAAGCATGTCCGAGCGTTGAGGACATAGTAGATGAGGCAGTTTCCATGTTCAAGGTCTTCCTAAAGTTTCCGAACCTTGTCAATTCTTGGATCGAGGATCGGCGTCCGGAGTATGTCCAAGCTCAGTTGTGGACCAAGGAGGGTTGCAATTGGCGCGAAAGGAGGCCTTGTTCTCCTTTAGATGTGGCATGCATGATATGCAGACTACCCATGATGAGGCGGAGAAGATGGGCAATGATGATCTTGGAGTTGTTCTCCGCGATTGATTTATCGCCTGAGCTTGTATGCATCATTCGTTCTTTCAATTTTCTTAGTCGTTTTCATTCAAGAATACTTGGAGAACTAATCGGGGATCTGACTTCTCACCTAGGCCGTCAGGGGCGGAAGGTTGGTAGGACCGACCTTGACCGCACCCTGCTTGGTAAGGCGGGCTGACCCGCACACTATTGATCTATGACTGATGAGTGTGCAAGCTGTTCTCGGCCATCGGTTAGACAACGGATGTACGAGAGGGGCTCGGGGCCTGATCTCTCGCATACCTTCGACCCGGAGGCCGGTCTTACATCTTGACTTGTACAGCTAGTTTCATACTTAGGAAACATTTTGGCTATTCCCTTTCTGAAAGTCGAACTGAAGTTGGCCAAACGTAAGGGCAAGGCTCTGCATGATCAGACCAGAACGGACCCGCACCGTTGATCCTGTCAAGCGCGTATGCGGGCTGATAAGCCTAGCAACGTTAGACAACTGATGTACGAAAGGGGTTCAGAGCACAACCTTTCGCATACCTTCGGCCTAGAGACCGGTCATATAGTTGCCGCATTGTTGATTGGATCATACGTGCATGCGAGCTGTTTAGACGGCAACGTCAGACAACGGATATACAAGAGGGTCTCGGGGCACGACCTCTCGCATACCTTTTCGACCCGGAGGCCGGTCTTATGGTCGCCATGACCGAGAAGCTATTCCTAGACTTAGAAAATAGTTTGATCATTTCCTTGCCCGAGGATTGAGCCATGGTCGTCTAAACACCGAGAGCGGGGCATCATAGTATTTTTTTCTCTCTTTTTGCGTTTTTTTTGTTTCTTTTTTTTTGCCGCCGCCCGTTCATTTCCAAGTGAGGTCGGACCTCATTAAGTTCCAAACTAGAAAACGAAAGATTTTCTTTTTTTAAGTAATAAAAGAATTTGAGAACTTGAGGAGTTGCCTCGAGTTCTACACTTGATTTACAATTTGTGATGATGGACTCATAGAATGAGAGAGAGCTGATCTGCAATCCACACTTGATCAACGAGCTTGCGGTGCCCCGCTCACCAGATTAGAAAAGGTGCCCGACGCTCAGCATTTGATCTGCGAGCTTACAGTGCTCCGCTCATAGGATTTGACAAGGTGCCCTACGCTACATTCTTGATCAACAAGCGTGCAATGCTCCGCTCCTAAATTTTGCCAAGGTGCCATGCACTTTGTACTTGATCAACAAGCTTGCGGTGCTCCGCTCATCGGATTTGGCAAGGTGCTCTGCACTCAGTCGTGAGTCTTGCACCTAAGTTGACCTTCCATTCCGGTCTCTCGGGGTTGACCTGGATTTCTTCGACTAGTCATGCTCAAGGTGTATGGCTGCACGTCAGTGAGTCACAGCCGACCACCCGGGCCATAGAAGATATGTGACATCTTCGTCTTCAATCTGTCATTCTCCGCGCGTAGGAGCACGGGAGCACGGGCGTACGGGAGCACGGGCGTACGGGCGTACGGGAGCACAGGAGCACGGGCGCAGTGGAGCACAGGAGCACGGGAGCACAGGCGCACGGGAACACCGGCGTACGGGCGTACGAGAGAACGAGAGCATGGGCGTACGGGCATACGGGAGCACGAGCATACGGGCGTAAAGGAGCACAGGCGTACGGGAGTACGGGCGTATAGGCGCACTAGCGTACGGGTGTACGGGCGCACAAGTGTACGGGCATACTTGGCGTACAGGCATACCAGGTGTATGAGCGTACGGGCGTACGAGTCACAACCGACCACCCGGGCCATAGAAGATCTGTGACATCTTCGTCTTCAATCTGTCATTCTTCGCGCGTAGGAGCACGGGAGCATGGGCGTACGGGTGTACGGGAGCACGGGCGTACAGGCCGACGGGAGCACGGGCGTACGGGCATACGGGAGCACGGGTGTACGGGCGTACGGGAGCACGGGAGCACGGGCGTACAGGCGCACGGGAGCACGGGCGCACGGGAGCACGGGAGCACGAGCGTACGGGAGCACGGGCGTACGAGCGTACGGGATCACGGGAGTACGGGCGTACGGGAGCATGGGCGTACGAGCCTACGGGAGCACGGGGGCAGGGGAGAACGGGCGTACGGGAGCATGGGCGTACGGGCGTACGGGCGCATGGGAGCACGGGCGTACGGGAGCACGGGCATATGGGCATACGCGCGTACGGGTGTACCTACCCCGGGCTTGCGCTCCAAGACAAGGTTGTGCATCCGGACCTCCCGACAGAGATGGGCCTCCTGATGGAGATCGGAGTTTCACGCTAATGGGTTGAACCCGTGCCACCAAGCTTCAGCGTACGGGCGTAGCGATCCCGGTCTTACACTCCAGGACAAGGTTGTGCATCTGGACCTCCTGGCAGAGACGGGCCTCCTGATTGGGTTATTGGTATGTTTCGTTTGTCCTCGTCTTCCCTTGGTACTTGCTATGGAACAGCGGTGCGAGGGTGCTGCTGCGAGAGGGACCACCTCGGTCTGGCATGGTCGTCCTTGCTGTGCCTCGCGTGGATTGGTGCGGTGGCGGAGCCACCTCAGGTGAACTGCAAAGCGGTGCTGCGACAGCGCACGGAGGTGGCCTGAACGGCGATGTCGGACATGGAGGGACGAACTGCAAGCGCCGCTGCGACGAAGGTGGAGAAGCCGCCTATTATTGGATGGTCCGGTCGCAATAGGCGTCTGAGGATCCTGCGACCGGGAGAATGAATTGCGAGCGTCGCCGCGGTGAAGGCCAACTCTGGCGGCGCTGGACGGACCACTCAACCTCCTAGGGTTCAACGCCGACTTCCCTGCCTACAGACGGGAGTAGATGCCCAGCATCAGCACTGTTGTTTGACTAGTCAAATGTTGTCTTTTTTTATCCAACTATGATATTCAGACTTATTCTTGCTCAAATTTCTGAATTTTTGGTCAAATTTTGTATAGTTTTTGGAGGAATCTCACTCGTTTTTTGCCAATCTATCTCTTCAAATTCTACCGAAAAAAATGAGAGATTAGCTAGCTCTCAATGAAAGCACCAATGTTGGTAGAAAATAACCCGGGTAGAGAATTCGGCAGCATTTCAGTATAGTGAGAATAACTTAGCAGAATACAAGGGGTTGATGGCCTATTTATAGACGTATACAATATGCCCACCAATTAAGTGCTACGTGGGTCTGGCCCGATTAATCTACTATTACTAACGCTAATGGGCCAGCAAGCCCAATAAGTAATTGAATAATCCCGGGCCAATATCCGCTAGCCGGACTGTGATGTGAGCTTGGTCGAGCCAAAGCTCGGTTGTAATGGGCCGATAGTCTTGGACCCGTCCCATTATCCCAACAATACTCTTTTTGCACCACCATTTATCCACCTAAAAGTTTAATTTTCAAGCTTGTAAACAAATATAAAACGAATTCATAATCATTCAAAGTATCCCATAACTGTCATTTAGATTCAAATCAAAGTCAATTCAACATTAAAATTCAAAGTTAAGTTAACCTAGCTTGTTTTTGAAAACACAGCAAAATCCAAAATACCAATATTCTTGAATTCTAGTCTAGCTATATAGGGCTGCAAACATAAAGTAGTCATTACATATGTTCTGGAAAAACATAAAGTACATCACAATCATCAAAATCTTATGTTCTTCCAACCATTTGTACTGTTTAAACAGCCATAATGCTACGAGCTTCACAAAAATCCATCTAGCACAGTTCATCACGTTCATCACTTCAGCCTGTAAAAACAATAATGATAACTATTTCAATCATCACACTACAGAAAATCCTAATTGCTGAAAACTACATTCTTAACACATGTATCTCAATAAATAAAATTTCAGCTTACTCATTCAGTAGGTTTGCTGCATATGAGACCCATTCCTCGCGTATTTGCAGAATATCATCTTCAAAGTACTCAGTGACTGTGGAGAACTGAAGCAACACCAAAACAAAAACATAACATTGCTTTTAAAAAATACTACAAAATCATGAATGAGAATCTAAAACCATTTCATGTGTAGGAAAAAAACTGAAGCATCACAGAAAAATAAGACATAGAAGGACTGCATTCTGGTAAACACATTCAGCAAAGTTTTTTTCTTTAAAACTTTCATAAACATTTAGCCCATATCTTTAATAACACTAAGCCCATTAAAATAATAGGGTAAAACCAATAAAACCTGCATAAAACTAAGAGTCTAATTACATAAATAACGTAAAACTTGTGCAAGACACTACAACTATCATCGCTAGCCATCCTCGCTCTCCTCACTCGACACTCAAGCTGCTATACACCAGTCTCTTTTTTCAGCTTTCGTCACCATCTCAAGCAAACTCAACTGCTCTAACTTTAAATATATTACTCAGTTATGCGTTTTTCACTTTTTCCAACAATAATTTGTATATAAACAAAGATATTAATGAAGATATTACTCTGCCATAGGTCAATGCATATCCAACTTTTATAAGCACACAAGGACACACCAAGCTTAGATACACACAACTAGCTTCTAAAGATACTACTCTGTTTGACCCAACCAAAGTAAAACATGGTTGTTAACGACGGGCTGAGTAAAACATGTTGATCAAAGTGGATATCCATCTTTTAAAACACACAACATAACAAACACAGATTTGAAAACTAAAAGAACATGATTAATTAAATCAATAAATCAATAAATTTGACTCGCATTATTCTTCAACACATCAACATCACCAATAATATCTTTCATGAACTTCATTACGAAGTACCCACTCCAATGATCCTCTTTGCTTCGGGCACTACATACACACATTTAAATTTGAATCTTTTAAAGTTCTATAAATAATGTATTTGAAAAAAGAACTATTAAATGACATGGATATACCTTGCATGTGATCCAATTCAATTTCAACCTATCTTTTGACTTTAAAGCATGACACATTTGCACTCCTCTGAAAACACATAGTTAAGTACACAATTAGTTAAGACTACAAGTATGATTGAAGTCATATATATGAAGTCACAATGACTAGTGTAACAACACTTTAAGACTAGTCAATTAAAAATAGTTTATGTATTAGTGTAGATTCAACATAACTTATTCAGTCAGTGATAATACTTAGAAAACAGAGAAAATTGTGCTTTATTTTGACTTAACTGAGTCACAATTATCTTCACATCTTCTGGTGGAATTTCTCCAATGGAATCCTTGTAATAAATCCTTCCCATCTCCACATCAATAGCAACCAACACCCAGTGGTCACTGGTTGAGAAAAATCTTTGACAGTTACCATCATATAAAAATAACATGATGAAATTCATATCAATAATCCCCATTTTAAGCATTTCTACAATAATAATCTCTACAAAGGATATTAATAATAATAGTCCGAACCATTAAATCAGTTCACTTCAATAGATGAAACTAGACGGAGTCAAACATTCCGTTGAATCAAATCACAACCCCACTGCCACAACACATCACCCCTCTGTGCGTTATCTTCTTCTTGTCCCTAGCCAAAAGCACTTTCTCCTCTTTTTTCATTAAATCACTAACCCTAACTGAATTAAAATCCTTCTATTTAAAAAAAATCAAAAGATCACATATACAGAATTTCCAGAAAACTCTTTTGTTGAAAAAAAATCACATGATTTCCAGAACACTAGCTTTTTTTTGCGAGTTATTTTTAGTGACAAAACTTGGAACCTCTGTTCAATTTGATGATCAAACAAGATGATGGCTAAGTAATATCAAATAATAAATACCCTGCATTATACGGTAGTAGTGTAATTTGTCCAGGCAACCCGACACCGAGAAGGTCTGCCACATATTGGGATCTTCTATTCACTGACTCCTCAGATGCTTTTTTAGGACGGTGTATTGCAACAGATGTCCCGAACTGGACAGACATTGCTCCCCCATTGTCCACCATTTTTTCATGAAGGGACCTATATATATAATAATGATTATATTGTCAAGTTTCGAATTCAAAAGTAATTTAAATATAAAAGGTAAATTTATACACACTTACTTGCACCAAAGTTCTATAATTGAGTTCGAAACCTTCTCACAATTGATGACTAAGTAGCACATGTCCTTGTTAAAGGTAGTTTTGGTAGGGAACCCAAACACGTCTGCATTATTCTGGATCATATACCCGTCCTCCATGCATTTGTCAACTAGGAAGGCGAACATCTTCATGTTAACACTTTTTTTCTTTTTTTATCTGCCAATGACCTCGTGGTTCGCTACATATTCAGTTTTCTAGCAGGTGCAACCTTCTTCTTCATTTCAGGCCTGCTGCGTACTTCTACAATCTGTACACCACCCTTCTTCAATTCTAACCCCTTATCCTGTACTGGTGCATCATAGCCTGCTGGTTCTATCTTCTGTGAGAGATGGCGGGGGGATCTCCTTGGGAGGTATTTACCTTGTCCACTCATTTTTGGACTTTGCATTTCAACCTTCACAACTTTTAGACATTGTTCTTCTTCCTCTTCAGTTTCTACCCTAGGCTGTCCTGCCAAATCTCCCCCTGCGGACCTATCTCCAAGTTCTGCCACCTGCCATGCCATATATACAGATTTGAAATTATAATTGTTAACATTATCATTTCATAGTTTTAGAAGTTTGTAATACTACCTTTCTTTTCCCATTTCTTCTCTTTGGACGTTCTTCATCATCATCGATTGGTGGCTTAGGTTGAGACCTTCTAGAAATAGAAGCCTCACAGTTTTTATTGGGGGTACTATATGTCTTCTCAATCTCCTCAGCAACCCGCAAAACATATACCATCAATATAACTTATGCAACTTATAATGTATGACAGACCTGTAATTTATATAAATGAGTAGTACAACACCTTTTGTTTTCCATTTCCCCTACTTGGAGGCTTGGTGCCAACACTACAACTCCCAATATCACTAACACCAACAAGGGCAGTGATTTATTCTTTCAATTCATCGAATCGTTGAACCATCATCGCATATCTTCTAGCACAAATTTTCTCCGCTTCTTCATGCTCTGCAGCTTTACCCATAGGTGTGTTAAAGTACTTAGATGTAGTGATGGAGCGACCTAATCCTTGTACTCTACTTCCATTTGGCCTTTTATCCAGGGCAGCCGTGAGTATGTCATTACAACCATTTGGAACAAATAACCCATCTTCAACCATCTTCTTCAGCTCTTTCTATAAAAAAAACTATCGTAGTTAAAGTAAAATACAACTTTAACTACAATATAACATCTATAAAGTGAATCAACTAAAAAATCTTCAGAAAATTTTCACTCATAAATAGAGCATAGTCAACCATAAATACATTTATTAAAAAAGAAATTTAAGTAGCTAATAATTAATCCAAATATATTTTTCGAATAAAAGCTTAAGTGTATGATACATACAACTTTCTCAGCAATTTCTTTCACGCCCTCATCATTGATGGATAGTCTACCCGGGGGTATATATCCGAAGGGTTATTGCGGAGAATAACTAGAGAGAAGTCAGAGCAAATAAGTAAGAGAGAGAGAGTGTATATTCGATATGTATTAAGCGTGTTATCACTTTTCAGCGTGGTTACAAATGAGGAAATGGGGTGCTATTTATAGCAGCAATAAATGCCGGGCAGGGACACGTGTCAAGCGCTCATTGGCCGAGGGGTCACCTCAACTGGTTGGCGCTGGCAGCCGCATGTGGCCGCATTTAATGCGGCTGTTGGATGGGACGTCTGTGCAGAATACGGTGATCTGTACGCATGTGAGGCGGATATCTTGTCGAGTGAGATGCCTTCGGCTATAGAGCAGTAGCCGAGGGCTCTTCCTCCCGATGGAACCCCTGGTGCCGAGGGCTCACAGTGCCGAGGGCTGCTGTTTTCGCCGTTTTCTCCCAGTTTCTTAGTTTGCTTGAGAAACCCGTTCTGTGAGGATTTGGAGCCTTCGGCCAGGGGGCCGAAGGCACCCCTGTGCGTTGTGCGGACTGCTTGGTACTCCGGGCGCTGTGAATTGGGCCTGTTGGGCCTTTTGGGCCTGTTGGGCCTTTGCTGGAGTAGTAGGAGTCTGTGGGCCGGGAGTTCCCGGGCCATATACTCCATCAGGAGTCCCTCACTCCTTTTGCCGAAAGGTACTTGAGGGAAAAGGAGTAATTTGTGCTTGCCCTTTGATGTTGTCCCGTTGTGATCTCTGAAGTTGGTGAGGAGTTGTTGCCTTTATGTCCCTGCCGAAGGCGGTCCCTCAGTTACCCACATGTCGGGACTTGAGGGCTTGCTTTGTTGTTTGTTGGAATTTCACAGATTTTGTAATTTAATGATTTTCCCGAAGGGGTCCTCCAGTCCCCCACTCCTTGAGGCACTTGTAAAGTGGTGAAAAGGAGTAAAGTAGTTACGTTGCTGTTGTGGGCCGAAGGCTGACGCTTTTCGTTTGATTTTTGGGGGGATGCCTCGTTAAAAACCTCATTAGGAAAAACCCTTTGGGAAAAAATCCTAATGAGGGAAAAAGAGTGCACCGAATTCCCCCAATGATGAATCGAAAATGTCCAACCTTGGTAAAAAATGGAGAATGACGGGAATCCCGAAGGCTCTCTCTTCTGAGGGCTCCTGTGTTGATTAGCCGAAGGCTGGCTGTTGATGTCCTGGTGGCGCCGAAGGGGAGCCCCTCAATCCAGGGATCGAGGGCCTGCCAGATGAGGGCAGCAGTGAAGCTGTTACCGGGGGGTCCACTGTATGTTGATGGAGTGGTGATTAAGATACCCGAGGGCCATGGGCCATCCGTCAATGAGGCACTCCCCGGGGGCTACCCGGTTTTGCGGTGCTGAGGGGAATACCCGAGGGGTACCCTGATATGCAGCCCTAGGGATCTGAAGGAGTGATCCCGAAGGCGTGTGTAATGTGCGCTGTGGGGCACAACCCGGGGGTACTTCTGGGTGAGTGCACCCGGAGGCTATCCTTGATGAAGTGGAGTGAAGTAGAAAACCCGGGGGTTCCCAAAATATAGCCGTTGAAAATATAGCCGTTGGAATATGTAACGACAGGATATAGCCGTTGGGGGGGGGGGGGTGGCACACGTGGCGTGTGAAGGCTGGTTGTCCGTGGGCGGCGTCACCGGTTGGGTGAAACGGCGGTGTGTAATGATGGCGTCCATCCGGAGGCCTGGAATCCAGGCCCAAGCCCGGATTCATCGCCTATAAATACCCCAAGGCCAGGCATTCCTCCGTGTGCGATAAACTTGTTAGCGAAGCTCTGTCAATTTTTCTAGAGAGAGAAAGTTCAGCCTTCGGTCAAAACTCAGCTCTCGAGGTCAGTGCTCCCTGCCTTTCTCCTTATAGCATAGCTGTACTGTGCCCTTAGTTTAGGAGATAGAATTCACTAGGAACCTTAGTTCCCCCGAACCCTCGAGCTAGAGTGTAGAATGTCGTCCCAGAGTGACTCTCAGGACATCTCGAGGACGCCCTCGATGGAGGACGAAGGCATCTCCGACGTGGAGTCCAGCAGCAGTCAGCCCTCGGATGGTGGTGACGTAGCCCTCGCCACTGAGGTGCAGAAGGATCTGACGGCCGAGGCCGAGGCGGAGGAATTCGAGCGGACCGCGGAAGATGAGGAGTTAGCCCTCGCCGTCCAGGTTGCTGAGGAGGAAGAAGAAAAGGAGAGGGCGAAGGTCACTGTGGCCGTCCTTCCCCCTCGGGGTGCTGGTGAGGCCAGTACCTCCCAGCCGCTGAATGCAGTTCCCATCCGGGTGGCCCCCGGGAAGAAGAAGAGGAAGACGAAGGCTGGCCCCCAGAAGAAAGTAAGGGCCGTCGATCAAGGGGGGCCAGTAGATCTGCCGGAGGGTTACTCCTTCCTGGACACCGCCGCTCTGGAGATAAAGTCCCAAGCTGACAGGGCGGATATCTACATCACCCAGTTGCACGTAGGGCCCTCTGCCGTAGTAGTCGAGTCGGGTCCTGATGATGTGCTGTCGCGGCCCCCCGAGGGATGTATAGCCGTGCACGTGCTCTCGGTCTCGATGGGCCTCCGGTTCCCTCTCCATCCGTTCCTCCGGGAGTACTTGAGGTACACCGGCCTGGTTCCCTGCCAACTGACCCCCAATAGCCACTCGTACATAACTGGGTTCGTGAACCTGTGCAAACTCCGGGGGGTTACACCGAGCTTGGAGCTATTCTTCCAAAGCTTCAACCTATGCCGGGGGGGGGCATACCAATGCCGAGGGCTATGCGAACTTACAGCAGATAGCCCAGTTCAAATTGTTCACCGAGGCCCCTTCTTCCAACAAGGGGTGGAGAGAGCGATGGTGCTACATCAGACTGGCCGACAGCCCTTTCCCGAGGGAGTTGCGGAATTGCTTCCGGCGTCATGTGAAGGTCAAGAGCGCCGCCCTCGAGAAGGATGGCCTGAAGATTGCCGAGATTCCGGAGGGGCGGGATAAGAACATAACCATCAAGGAGTGCACCCTCGAGAAAGACCTGTATGCCCTCGGATTCCTGAGGTATCGGTTCATCGGGGAGACCGAGGAGAAGTATCCCCTCTATGATAAAGCCTTCGTGGGGGCAGGAGGTAGTGGCCGGGGGCTTTACATTTTTGTACTTTGAGATTTTCTGTCATGTTTGTTGTCGTGTCTCGAACCCCTCGGTGCTAACATTTTAACTTGTTGTTTCTTTGCAGGTAGCAGGATGAATGCCAACGCTCTTTTCGCAAAGAGGAAGGGCAAGACCCAGTCCAAGGAGAAGGGGCCCTCGGGCCAGAAGCCAGTCGACGCGCTTTTCCCGAAGGTCATAGAACCTTCCGCCGGGGACTCCCATGCTGCTGTGGGGACCGGGGGGTCGAAGGCCGAGGCGGCCGCCAAGAAGAAGAGGGGCGACAAGGGGGTGGAGCCCCCCACCAAGAAACAGAAAGGCGCCGTGGGTGCTGTCGGGGGGGCGGCCCCCCTCGTAATTATTGATGACATGCCCGCTGTTGATGGGCCTCTAGCCTCGGTCTCTCCGAAGGATCCGGTGAATCCCCCCGGGAGGAATTACCCCGGGAGATCCGTCAGCTCTCCTTTGCCCCCGGCGCTTCGTTGATGCACGGCACTGCCGAGCCGAAGGCCTTCCTGCGGGGCATCACCTCGAAGATGGACAGGGAAGTCTTCGAGACCTACGATGACGATGCCCTCGAGAACAGGATCCTCCGCTCCTCGCTCACTATAAGTATCCGCTTCCTTTTTCCTTATCTTGTCAGTGTAGTCTTATTTTTTCCTGAGGAACAATCTAACTCCTTTGATAATTGTTCGCAGGCCTGCATAGCCCTCGGGGAACAGGCCCGGAGGCACGAGGAAAGGCGTCTTCACGAGGCCGCCCAGGATAAGAAGGTGGAGGGGCTGATCCGTAAGAACTCCGAGGCGGTGAAGCATGCTGCCCAGCTGGAGGAGGCCCTTCGGGAGGCGAAGGCGGCGGCGGAGAAGGCCAAGGCTGATGGTATAGCTGAAGGCAAGGCAGAGGCCGAGAGGGCTGCTGCCGAGGCGGCGAAGAAAGCCGCCGATGAAGCCCAAACTGCTAAGGAGAGAGCTGCGGCCGAGGCCCGAGGGGAGGCAGTTGCGGAGTTCCTTGCTGAGGGCTGGAGGGCCGAGGGCCATAAGGAGTGGGTTGCCTCCGTGGTGGCAGCCTCGGTGGACGCTTGGGTAGAAGGCCCCGGGGTTGACTGGCTGACCGATAGGGGCGACGCCTACTATCAGGGGGGTGAGTTTTTTACCCAGCACCTGATATACCGGAGGCTCGCCAGGCACTTCGGTGTATCCCTCGAACAATTTGACCCCTCGGTATACGGCCTCCCTCCGTTGCAACCAGATGTCAGAGTTCCCCTCCCCCCGGGTGAAGAGCGGCCAACAATCTATGATTCTGTGATGATGGGGGGTGACGGGGTTGGAGCCGTCGGGGGTGATGCTGCCGGAGAAGAAGTCTCCTCCAAGGCTGTCGTGGAAGATGCCCCCGGTGACAACGAGGCTGAAGCTGCCGAGAAGACTATTACTTAGTCAATTTTTTTAAAAAAAAGCCTTGTAATGAAACTTTTGTTGCCCCTCGGCTTTGGCCACACTCTGTAATGATCACATTGACTATTTTTGTGTTGTAATTGAATGATTGCCTTCGGGCTTGGTGTATATGATATGCTTCCTTCTGATCTGTTCATTGTTGAATGTATGCCTTCGTCTTTGTTTTGAATGTATGTCTTGTTCCTTTGAATGTATGTCTTAGGACTTAGAATACCATCTGATTGTAGCTAGCCCTTGGGAGCCTTCGGTAGTTGGGCACCCTCCGCTGGATATGCAACCGAGGGTTCAGCAGCAATTAGGACTTAGAAAATTTTTCTAAGTGTAGATTTCTAAGTGTAGATTTCTAATTGTAGATTTCCCCTTGAGAGCCTTCGGGATATGGCCTCCCTTCCTGATGTGTGAATGTTGGACCGAGGGTTCAGTAGGAATCAGGACTTAGAGATTTTTTGCAAGTGTAGTATGTCATGTAGCCTTCGGCTACTGTGGAGCCCCAACTGAAATATTGAATAGGCCGGGGGCCAATTCTTTAGGACTTAGGACATTTTCTTGAGTGTTGATTCCTTGTGTACCGTAGCTCTCGATTGATAGGTAGCCTTCGGCAATTAGGTCCCTTGAGATGAGGGTGAAATATGTAGGACTTAGAAAATCTTCTAAGTGTAGAGTTTCCCTTGGGAGCCTTCGGGAGTTGGCATCCCTTCATGATGTGTGAGTAGCTGTCCGGGGGGGAAATATGTAGGACTTAGAGAATATCCTAAGTGTAAATCTCCCTTGGGAGTCTTCGGGAGATGGCATCCCTCCTTGGTGTATGAGTAGGTGACCGGGAAAAACATGTAGAACTTAGAAAATATTCTAAGTGTGGATTTTCCCTTGGGAGCCTTCGGGAGATGGCGTCCCTCCTTGATGTATGAGTAGTTGGTCGGGGGGGAAAACATGTAGGACTTAGAAAATATTCTAAGTGTGGATTTTCCCCTGGGAGCCTTCGGTAGATGGCGTCCCTCCTTGATGTATGAGTAGTTGGCCGGGGGGGAAAACATGTAGGACTTAGAAAATCTTCTAAGTGTAAATTTCCCTTGGGTGCCTTCGGGTGATAGGTGCCCTCTGATTCCACATCACTTTGCGAGATGCCCCGGGGGCTACTCATTCAGGACGGAACACCCTTTTTTTTTAAGTGTTGTTGTATTGCATGGCCTTCGGCCACCATATTCCCTTGGCTGTAATATTGATTGGGCCGGGGGCCCAATCTTTGGGACTTAGAAATTTTTCAAGTGCTGCTTCCCTGTGTAGCCTTCGGGTGCCCGAGGGCTGCTCCTTCAGGATTTAGAAATTTTTCTAAGCATACATTGATGTTGACTCCTGTTGTTGTGAAGAAAGCCAATGAGGAGTGTGTGCCCTCGGCATACACTTCAAAAGTCGTAGAATTTGATCCTTGTCATGGGGAAAGGGCCCTCGGTATTTGTGCATAACGGATGCCTTCGGTGTTTGTTTGAAGTACCGGAGGTGTTGTTGAAGCCTTCGGTGTCTTTGTGACCGGAGGTGACCAGGTAGTGGACTTAGCCGTTTCCTGATGATATTTCCTTGAGTAGTATCCTTCGGGAAATAGGAGTCTTCAATTGCCGGAGGTGTTCCCGTGGGGAGCCCTCGGCATGTTGTGATTTTGTTGGAGTGCACTCTTTGATTTCTCGCTGAGTCTACTCCCCTTCACCCCTTTTTTTTTTGGTGGTGAAGGGAAGGCATCAAGAAACTTGGTTTCTTGGTAAGGCTGGGCCTATTAGGAGACCATCAGAATACACCAATGGCTCTCCTCCCTCGGGTTAACCTTCCGAGTGCCGAGGGGATTGAGGGACGTTTCCTGGGCACAAGATATGGTGGTCCGTAACCTGCCTCCCCTTGGGGGATGGCGCGGAAAGCGCCTCATTTTTGAAAGTCGTCCCCTCGGCGCTAGACATAGTCTGTGGCCTGCCACACCCTTGGGGTGGTGGCGCGGGGAGCGTTTCGGTTTGGAAGTCGAATCCTGGGCATTTCTCATGCCTGTCATACCCTGGGGGTAGTGACGCGGATAGCGTTCCGTTTTTGAAAGTCGAATCCTGGGCATTTCTCATGCCTGTCATACCCTGGGGGTAGTGACGCGGAAAGCGTTTCAAGGAAGGGTTTTCATTTGCACACTAGTTGCAAATGGCCGGGGGCACTACGTGCCGCCGGCACCGATGGTGGCGCCTTCGGTATATGCGTCCTCGTGGGGTACGGCTTTTAGAAACAACACTTGGTGTTAGTTTCGATGTGTAGCCCCACGGTACTTGGTACCGAGGGGTCTTCTGTAGGAACACTTGGTGTTCTCTTGTTGTAGTTGATGTAGGCGTCTACCCTCGGTACTTGGTACCGAAGGGTCTTCAAATGAAACACTTGGTGTTTCCCAATAGATGTTTGGAAGCTGTTAGGAGAGCATATCCCTGGCACTGGGTGCCGAGGGGTCTTCTTTGAAACACTTGGTGTTTTTTCTTCGTTTCGATATTTGATGAGGGAGGTGTGCCCTCGGCACTGGGTGCCGAAGGGTCTTCTGTAGGAACACTTGGTGTTCTAATCTTTTCTTTTTTGATGCTGAAGGTGGGGAAGTACCCTCGGCACTGGGTGCCGAGGGGTCTTGACTGAAAACACGTGGTGTTTCCACTGTTTGTCGTAGGTGTTGATGGTGTCCGCCCTCGGCAATGGGTACCGGAGGGGGTTCTTCTTGTGGTGAGGCCTGGGGCCTGTAGTCAGTATGAGGGCTTGATGTCTTGAATGTATCTTCATTCTTCGAAATTGGAGGCCTTGGGCCATTGGATAGTACATTCACTAGTTATGAGGGCTTGGCCGCTCTTACATTATTGATAAAATTTAACTAAATGGTGTACATTCCAGTGCCTAGGGACCTCTTTCCCGTTGGGGCGTTTGAGTTTGTAAGTCCCGGGTTTGATGATGGCTGCTATGATGTAGGGGCCTTCGAATTTTGGTGCCATTTTTCCTCCCTCGGTTGGTTGGCTGGCTTCCCTCCTCCGGAGGACATAGTCCCCCACTTGAAATTCCCGGGTTCGAACTTTAGCGTCGATGTAGCTTTTAACTTGCCTTCGGTAGTTTTCTGCCCGGATGAAGGCCTGCTCCCGGCGTTCTGAAATGAGGTGCAGGTCGAGGGCCATGTTGCTGTCGTTGACCTCGGGGTCATATTGGATCACCCTTCGGGTAGGAAGGGTGACTTCCGTAGGAGCTTTGGCTTCAAAACCGTAGCAGAGGGAGAAGGGTGTTTCACCTGTAGCGCGCCGAGGGGTAGTGCGGTAGGCCCAGAGGATGTTGTGAAGTTCTTCCACCCAGCCACCTCCCTCGGCCTCCAGCTTCTTTTTGAGGCCCTCGAGCAAGGTCCGGTTGGCGTTCTCTACCTGCCCGTTGCCTTGAGGGTAGGCAACGGAGGAGAAGGTGTGTTTGATGCCCCATGCCTCCAGAAGGGCACAGAAGGGGGCTGCCTCAAATTGTGTTCCATTGTCGGAGATGATCTGTTGGGGGACGCCAAACCTTGTGAGGATGTTCTTGAGGACGAAGTGACGGCACTTCGCCTCTGTGATGCTGGTGAGGGGTTCAGCCTCCACCCACTTGGTAAAATAGTCGACGGCCACAATGATGTATCTGTTGTTGGAGGTACCCCTCGGCAGAGGGCCCACAAGGTCTATCCCCCATCGAGAAAATGGGACAGATGTGCTGATGGGGGCATAGTTGACCGCTGGCCTGCCGGGGGCTTTCTGGAAATGTTGACATGCGGTGCACCTCCGGGCAAGGTCAGCACAATCCCTGGCCATGGTTGGCCAGAAGTAGCCCTGGAGAATGAGCCTTCGGGACATGGAGAAGGGTCCCTGGTGAGCTGAGCAAGTGCCACTGTGCACTTCCTCCATTGCGACCTCGGCTTCATCTGGATGAAGGCACCGAAGTAGCGTGCCATTGTAAGATCGTTTGTAGAGCCTTCCATCTTCGATGGTGTAGCTGGGAGCCCTCAGCTTTGCTAGTTTAGCGCGGGCCTCATTCTCGGGTAGCTGCCCTGTGGAGATGAAGGCGGTGATATCTGAAATCCAATCCTCCTGACGTCGTTGTACGTTCATCACGGGGCTTGCATGGATGCTTGAGAGGCTGAGTTCCTCGATTTTGGCAATCTTGGAGATGTGCTCGGGGGAGTCTGCCGAGAGTTTAGATAATATGTCGGCCTCGGAGTTCTGAGCCCTTGGTATTTGAGTGAGAGAGTGTGCCTCAAATACCTTAAGCAACTCCTTGGCTGCTTCCTTGTACTGTTTCATTCTTCCTTCCTTGGCCTCATATTCTTCGGAGATTTGGCCAACGACCAACTTGGAGTCGCATTTGATGTGGATCTGCCGAGCCCTCATGTTGGCAGCCAGCCGAAGGCCACATAGGAGGGCCTCATACTCGGCTTCATTGTTGGAGACCTTGAAGGAGAAGCGGATTGCATAGTAGGCCCTGAAGCCCTCGGGAGTAATGAGGACTACCCCTCCCCCGCATGCTTTGGTCGCGGAGGAGCCATCAGTGTAGAGGGTCCACCAGTCGTCCGAGGTAGCCGAGGGCTCCCCGTCTGTGGCTGCCCTTGCGGTACATTCCGTCACAAAGTCCGCCAGGGCTAGGCCCTTGATGGTAGGCCTTGGACGGATGTCAATGTTGTATTGGCTCAAGAAGATAGCCCATTTCACCATGCGGGAGGAGCTGGTGGGGCTCCTCATGAGGGCGCCGAGGGGTTGATGGGTGAGGACCTGAACCGGGTGGGCCTGAAAGTAGTGGCCCAACTTCTTGACAGTCCAAACGATGGCTAACACCGTTTTTTCCACAGGGGAGTACCTGAGCTCGGCCTCCCTTAGGGTCTTGCTAACGTAGAAGATGGCATGCTGGATGCCGTCTTCCTCCCGGATGAGCACAGAGCTGATGGCCGCCGGGCTGACCCCAAGATAGAGGTAAAGAGTCTCCCCTACCTTGGGTTTGGAGAGCACAGGGGGTGAAGATAGATACCGTTTGAGCTCGTCGAAAGCCCCCTGGCATTCTGGAGTCCATAGAAAGCCAGCCGTCTTCCTCATGATCTGGAAGAAGGGTAGGGACTTCTCCGCCGATTTAGATAGAAAACGGTTGAGGGCTGCCAGGCGGCCCGTCAACCGTTGAACTTCCTTTACATTGCGTGGGGGCTCCATGTTGATGATGGCCTGGATCTTCTCGGGATTGGCCTCAATACCCCGTCGGCTCACCATGTAGCCTAAGAATTTGCCTCCTTGGACGCCAAAGGTGCACTTCTTCGGATTTAGCCGAAGGTTGAATTTTTGCATGATGGCGAAGATTTCCCGGAGGTCGTCAGCATGGCTGGAAGATTGCTTGCTCTTGAAGATCATGTCGTCAACGTAGGCCTCCATGGTGCGCCCTAGGACGGCTTGAAAGACCCGGGCCACCATCCGGGTGTAAGTGGCCCCCGAGTTCTTTAGGCCGAAGGCCATCACTAGGTAGCAGAAGATGCCCTCGGGAGTCATGAAGGCAGTTTTTTCGGCGTCCTCCTCGTGCATGAATATTTGATGGTACCCTCGGAAGGCATCGAGGAAGGACACGATTTCACACCCCGCGGTCTCATCCACCAATTGATCAATGTTTGGTAGAGGGAATGGATCCATGGGGCATGCTTTGTTGAGATCGGTGTAGTCCACGCACATGCAGAAGGTAGGGGGCTTCTGGGCGAGGACTACATTTGCTAGCCATGAGGGGTATTTTACCTCCTTGATGTGCTTGATTGAGAGGAGCATGGCGACCTCCTTCTTCACAAATTCCCTTCTCTCGGCGGAGAGGGGTCTTCTTCGTTGTTGCACTGCTTTTGCCGAGGGGTCCACCGAGAGGCGGTGGGTGATGACCCTTCGGCTAATTCCCGGCATGTCCTCCGGCCCCCATGCAAAGACAGTGGAGTAGGCGCGGAGGGCGTCGGTGATACCGGTCTTCAAATCTTCAGGGAGCTGGGCTCCAATCTTCACGACTCTCTCCGGCTGGGCCGGATCGAGCGCAAAGTCTTCTACGTCCTCGGTCGGTTCAGCCCTCGGCCTTCTTTCCTCCTGGTCGACGGCTCCGGTGATGGTGTCAACACGGAGTTCCGTCTTGCTTACCTTCTTAGTGACCTGAAGATAGCAGGCACGGGCAATTTTTTGGTTCCCCCGGGAGTAGCCAATGCCCCCATCGGCGGGAAACTTGAGGCAGAGGTGCCTCATGGAGATGATGGCCTCGAGGTCCTCGAGGGCTGGCCGGCCGAGGATGATGTTGTGGGCGCAGTCAATGTTGACGACGACGAACTCTACCTCGAGCTGGGCTCTATGGAACCCGTCGCCGAAGATCACCGGGAGGGTTATTACCCCCTCGGAATCAATGGTGTCACCGGTGAAGCCGGCAAGAGGGGTCTTAATGGGCCGAAGGGACCCCCTCTCCAGATGCAGCTCTCTGAAGGTGCTGAGGTACATTACATTGACGGAGCTGCCCGTGTCAACGTAAGTTCGGTGAATGATGGTGTCGTTGATCTCCGTTCGAATCACCAAGGCATCCCGGTGAGGAGAAGAAGTAGGAGGGAGATCTGCGTTGGTGAAGGTGATGGGTTCCTCCCTCAATCGCTTTACCGGGGGCATATGAGTGACTTCCCCTACGTAAAGCGATTGAGCCCACTTCTTTCGCTGGCTGGTGGAATCGCCCCCTGTGTTGCCACCGGTGATCATGAGGATGTGGCGTTTTTTCCCCTGGTAGTGGGGGTATTCCTCCTCCTCTTCTTCCAAGTTTCCAATCTCCCTTTTCTTGCCGAGGGGGATGGTATTCGGGTTTACCCAAGCGTTTACCTTCGTGTGATGCCCTCGGGGAGGCCCCTGATGAGAAGATCCCTCCTGCCGAGGGCTCTGGACAAACTGGGACAGGTGCCCTGCTTGTATTAATCTCTCGATGGCCGTCTTCAGTTGATGGCAGTCATCGGTCCTGTGCCCCTGGTGTCGATGGAAGCGACAGTAGGGGAACTGAGGGTTGATAGCGTGTACCTCCGGGGGTGCGCGAGAATCGCGTTCAACGAGGCCCCTCTCCTCTGCAAAATCGAGGATGATGCTGACGGGGTGCGTCAATGGGGTCCGAGGGCGGTCCAGGAGAATGGGCTGGGCCCAAGTCTTAGGGTTGCTCCTATAACCTCCCCCGGGCTTGGCTTGGCCTTGCCGAGGGCGGTCATCAGAGGGCCCCGAAGCCTTGGGGCGATTTGGAGGAGCCCCCGGCCCTCGGTTGTGCTTGTTGTCAGCCCTCGGGGGCTGCTGGTCCGGATGCTGGTGATACTTCTCCACCTCCTCGGCCTCAGCATATCGGTCCCCCCGCTGCAAGGCCCTTATGTAGTCGCGGGGGGGGGGGGGGGGGGGGTTCAATGATGAGGCTCCTTGAAAAGTTGCCGGTGCGGAGGACGGTTTGTAGGAGGGCCAGGAGGGTCCCGTCATCAGCACCGTCGACCTTGTCGGCCTCCATCCTCCAGCGCTCCAGGAAATCCCGAAGGGTCTCATCCTTCCTCTGGCGTATCGTTAGGAGGTGGGAGAAGTGCTTCCTTGTGCGACGCCTCCCGGCAAATTGTGTTAAGAACCGCTGGGCGAGTTCTTGCCATGAATCAATACAACCCTCGGGCAGCCTGTTGAACCATTCGTATGCTGGTCCCTCTAAGGTGGAGAGGAACCAACGACACAAATATTCGTCTGATGCCCCCACCATCATCATGCTGTTCTGGTACTTGCTGTTATGCTCCTGGGGGTCCGTTTTTCCGCTGTAGGGCTGTATGTGTTGCCCTCGGTATTTCTCCGGGATCCGGGCCGCCAATACCCTTGGGGTAAATGGCGTCCGAGTCCGGAGCTGGATGACGGGTTCCCCGGAGCCCTCGGCCACCTTCTTCTGTAACTCCTCCATCTTGGCCATCATGGCCTCGTATTTGAGATCTGAGTGAGGGGTGGAGGTGGTGGCGTGAGCTTTGTTGGACTCCATTTCGTCAAGCCGGCGCTGGAGGGCCGCAATAATCTCGTCCCGAGGGTCCCTCGGGAGGGTCCCCGCCCCCTGCGAACGAACCCGGGCCGAGTGGGCCTGGTTGATTTGGTGCCGAGCATCATCGGCATGAAGGGGTGCCTTGCCCTTGTCCCGAGGGGGACGCTCCTCGTCTGCCCTCGAAACAGATCCCCCGCTTTCCTGGGGCCTTTGGAGTGCTTTCCCCCCGAGGCGGTCTTGGACCCCTCGGCGGTCTGGCCCTCCTCCGAGCCGGTTGAGGGCGGAAGTACGGGGCCTCTCCCTGTTGTCATTATGGCGGTCCCGGGACTGAACTTCCTGGGAGGATGTTTCTTGGGCCACCACCCCTTCATCGTTTCTCACCCGAGGGATGGGATTTCCGAAGGGGTGTGGCAGAGGGGGAAGTATGATATTTTCCCCGATCTGAGGGTGAGCTGGAGCCAGGGTGCCGAAGGCACCCGGGTTCTGGGTGAGCGTCTGGATGAAGGCGGAGAGCGCCGATTGTACGTCGATGGTGAGAACCGGAGGGCTGACTTGGTCATCGCTCCGGTTTTTCTTCTTGGCCTCGAGGCCGAGGCGGGCATCGGGGTTATTCTGCTGGATCTGAAGGCGTAGGTCGACAGCCGCCTGTTCCAGCCCAGCGATGACACCGACCTCGGGAGCCTTGTGAGAGGCTTCGGGGGCGTTGACGTCGCCGAGGGCCAGGTTCTTGTCTTCTACGTTTTTGGAGTTGGCACGTGTTGTTCTCACCATTTTGGTCGAGGGCTAGTGTCTGGCGAGGGGGGAGGGTTTCTTACTTGATCGTTCGACCTCTCAACGAGAGCACCAAATGATGGATAGTCTACCCGGGGGTATATATCCGAAGGGTTATTGCGGAGAATAACTAGAGAGAAGTCAGAGCAAATAAGTAAGAGAGAGAGTGTATATTCGATATGTATTAAGCGTGTTATCACTTTTCAGCGTGGTTACAAATGAGGAAATGGGGTGCTATTTATAGCAGCAATAAATGCCGGGCAGGGACACGTGTCAAGCGCTCATTGGCCGAGGGGTCACCTCAACTGGTTGGCGCTGGCAGCCGCATGTGGCCGCATTTAATGCGGCTGTTGGATGGGACGTCTGTGCAGAATACGGTGATCTGTACGCATGTGAGGCGGATATCTTGTCGAGTGAGATGCCTTCGGCTATAGAGCAGTAGCCGAGGGCTCTTCCTCCCGATGGAACCCCTGGTGCCGAGGGCTCACAGTGCCGAGGGCTGCTGTTTTCGCCGTTTTCTCCCAGTTTCTTAGTTTGCTTGAGAAACCCGTTCTGTGAGGATTTGGAGCCTTCGGCCAGGGGGCCGAAGGCATCCCTGTGCGTTGTGCGGACTGCTTGGTACTCCGGGCGCTGTGAATTGGGCCTGTTGGGCCTTTGCTGGAGTAGTAGGAGTCTGTGGGCCGGGGGTTCCCGGGCCATATACTCCATCAATCATATTCTCCATTTTTTTTCTTTCTTCCCAAAAGCCATGTATCCGCACGATCGATATCTTTCAGCATACCTCCAAGCTCTTTTTTTCTATCAAATCAAACACAAACAAAAGAGTAATTCAAGCAAGTAGTGAAATAAATAAATCATTAACCATGATTTTTAAGTAAGCATAAAAAAATCACGAGACTTGAAAATAAATAATAAGAAATAAAACTCTAGATTGCAAATGATTATTTAAGGATGTAGAGAATAAGCCTTCTTCCTTAGCAGCCCTGCATAACCACCGGACCCCAACCGGTGATTGTACATGTTCTTCTTCCTTCTCTCCTTCACTTTTTCACTTTTGGCCTGCATGTTTGAATCATACGTCAACAGTTTCAGTTTCATATTTTAGACTATGATAGTGTGATTTTGTTTAAAATTAAATTCCCATATAACTGACTTTAAATTCTTCTTTGAAAGTGTTTTTAACAAAGAGTCTCCTGTAATACTTGAGATTTAATTTAAATGGATTAATAGTACTACTCATACCAACAAGATGCATCTCCTTTTAAGAGAGCTCATTAGCTAAGAACTCCAAAGTTAAGCGTGCTTGCATGGGAGTAGTCTTGGGATGGGTGACCCCTGGGAAGTTTCTCAGGGCGCGCATGAGTGAGGACAAAGTGCGCGGAAAAGGCTAGTGGCAGTTTGTGAGGACAGTACTAGAGGTCTGGAAGTAACTACCTCGGGGCCTACGGGGCCGGGGTGTTACAAGTTGGTATCAGAGCAACCCTGCGACAGTGTGCTGATCCGTTGGATATCGGGCGGGCACTTAGTAGGGGAAAAAGATTCTGGAATATGATTGAGATTGGTTTATGTATGCAACGAGGACGTTGCATTCCTATGTGGAGGTGATTGTAATACTTGAGATTTAATTTAAATGGATTAATGGTACTACTCATACCAACAAGATGCATCTCCTTTTAAGGGAGCTCATTAGCCAAGAACTCCAAAGTTAAGCGTGCTTGCACAGGAGTAGTCTTGGAATGGCTGACCCCCTGGGAAGTTTCTCAGGGCGCGCATGAGTGAGGACAAAGTGCGCGGAAAAGGCTAGTGGCAGTTTGTGAGGACAATACTAGAGGTCTGGAAGTAACTACCTCGGTGGTACGGGGCCAGGGTGTTACATCTCCATTCATCAGTTGATATGTGCTTAAACTCTTCAGGAGGAAACCGTAACTTCTTGGAACCCTCCTTGTAGTGCAAGATAAACTCGTTCCGCAAAGTGAATCTGAAATTTCTTAGAGCAGCACTCATTGTACTAAAGACTTGTTTTTGAGACGCAAGAGTCAACACAAACAGTTTCTGCAGTTCAAAATAATAAGACATATTACTGTGAGTATAAAATACAATTTATATGTTAATTGGAAAGTAATCAGATACAGTGTACTTATTTCTTACAAGAAGATGATTCCAACACTCATCTTTTACTTCAGGTGGAACCTTTCTCCAGTCATCATAAATTATGGGCACATAATCCGTCACCATAACCCCTATATAATTGGCTAGGTTAGTCCATCCATCACCCCAATGAACACCAAATTCATTTACTTCCACCTCCACTCGATCGTCATCAGCCTTCCGAAGTAAATGTTTCTTTTTGGTCTTTTGTCGCCTCTGTGGTCTCTCAATAAAACCATCTAGGTCATCCTCTTCACTAAAGTCATCCATGACTTCTTCACCTTTTGACATAGCTTTCTTGTATCCTAAAAAGAGCAAAGACATTTAATGTCAGTACTCAGTCACTTAAATGTAAAATATTACTCTTAAGAAAAATTAATGAAGTTATAATTACTTACCCAAAAGCCTAGAGAATCAGTCCAGCTTTAACTAATTACCAATACCTTGGGCATCCAAGTCTTGTCTATTATATATATGATCATCATCCGGGTTTTGGGTATCAATAACAGGCACGGGGTATTTTGATGTTAGGGGTTCATGAATTACTAGGTCATCAGATCCAAAATCTAAATCTTTATTAAGTCTTTGACCAACTGAACACACAATTGATCTTTTCTGATAACGTTGATCTTTTACGTAAAACACTTGTTTTGCATGAGAAGCTACAATGAAACAATCTTTTTTGTGACCAATTTTTTTAAGATCTACAAGTGTGAAGCCCAAGTTATCTTCTTTTACATGTCTACTATGCACCCAGTCACACTTAAACATAACCCTCGTAGTCATGAGATAGTGAAGAACCCATATTTCATCAAGAACACCATAGTAATTCATGGAGCATGTGGCTGGAATGCTATCCTTGGAACCGGAAACTAGAACAGTGTCTGCTACAAGGCTAACCCCGCTATTCTGTGTCACACGATTTGAATCTCGGTCCTTTGTAGCAAAGCTAAAACCATTTATAATGTAGCCCGAGTAAACTGTCACAGTTGTGTTGGGCTTCTTTGATAGCCACCTAACCGTTTCGTCAACTATCACACCATTTGCAACATCAACTTTAACCTAACTAAGTATAGTTAGTATTATAGTTTATATGTGATACACATAACCTTATAGTTTGTAGGTATAAGTCTTAAGTTAATGACCTTCTCTTCAAACCACTTTGTAAAAGTACGATAATGCTCTGTGTCACAACACCCAATATCCTTTGCTTGCAGGTGCAACAAATGGGACATGCATAATAGCCTGTGTACGTACACCAGGATAAGTTACCGTATGCCAGAAAGTCACTAATAGTCCACATCAGTATCGCCCTCATTTTAAACATCTCCTTTTTAAAAGCATCATAAACATCTACACCCTCGTTCCAAAGAATTTTGAGGTCATCGATCAATGGTTCTAGGTTGACATCTATATCATTTCCGGGTTGTTTCGGACCAGATATTAATAGAGATAACATCATGATTTTTCTTTTCATGGTCAACCAAGGCAGAAGATTATAAATGACTAACTGGACTGACCAACAACTATATCTAGAAGTAAGTGAGCTATGTGGATTCACTCCATCACTTGACAAAGCCAATATGAGATTCCTAGATTCTTCACTGAAGTCTGGCCACATTTTATCAATGTGCTGCCAAGCTGCACAGTCAGCTGGATGGCGTAGTTTACCATCTTTCACTCGATCGGTGACATGCCAAGTCATGTTTTCAGCTGTGTTGGCTGATTGAAACATGCGTTTGAACCGCGGAATAGGAGGAAAATACCATAACACTTTCACAGGAACTCTATGGCTATGATTTATAGCTCCGTTCTTTTTTTCCTTAAACCTACTCTCCCCACACGTAGGACATTTATCAAGATCGGTGTGTTGTTTATGAAAGAGGACGCAATTGTTCCGACAAGCATGTATTTTTTGGTAATCTAATCCTAGGACTTTCATTATTTTCTTAGCCTCATACATTGACTTGGGAATGGAATTATCAGAAGGCAATATGTCACTAAGTGCTTCTAATAAAGATGTAAACCCTTGATCAGACCACCCATATTTTCCTTTGATGTTAAATAATAACATCACCCCAGACAACCTTGAATAACTTGAATCTCGGTAAAGTGGTTTCTCAGCATCTTCAACCACATCCCTAAACCTCTTCGGATTATTGTCTAAGTGGTCATAAATATCCCCTAACATGTCCTCAACTTGGTTGTAGTCATGAAACTGTGAATATAAGGTGTTAGGTGTTGGAATTTTTTCAACCTCCCCATGCTTAGTCCAAACAAGATATGATTCCAGAAAGCCCACTTTGAATAAATGGACTTTGATTTTTTCAGGGGATTGAAAGTCCATATTGCAACAAGTTTTGCATGGACACCTAATTGACCTACGATTGGCAGAATTAAGTATAGCACAATGAATGAAATCATTGACCCCTTTTATATATTCTGGAGACAATCTGTTTGCATCCCCAATCCAAGACCTATCTGTTTGCATATTCATACCTGACATGTGAAAAAAAAGACAAAAGGACCAAGTGACCAACTCAAACAAGATAGACTATTCAAAAAATATACTTATTAACCACTCATCTGTGGGGGAAAAATAGTTAACCAACTAATGTATACAACCAAGTATATTTCTACAGATTGCATAGATTTCGATCTCTCAAAGCAGTAAGGTATACAAAAATATACTTCCTCCGTCCCTTAAAACTTTGCCAAGTTTGATCGACACGGAGATTAATAAAGTAAAAACTGTGTGGTAGATATTTGTGCAGAGGAGAGAGAATTAACTGAAACCACAAATTCTTTACTCAAAAGGGAAAGTGACAAAGTTAGTGGGACATCCAAAAAAAGAAAGTTGGCAAAGTTTTAAGGGACGGATGAAGTATGTGTTTTCCCAAGTGTACATACTAGACTGAATTTTAATTTGAGCACCAGGAAGTTTAACTCATGCCGTCATGCAATCATTTCATATACAAACATACAGTCATCATAATGAGGTAATCAGTTTAGAAATTAACCAAATAAAGTATTGAATTTTGAAAACATAAAAAAAGCTGAAAAATTTCCAAAAGGAACCTTGAAAACATATTCATGTGAACTCGTATTCTTTCTTTTCAGAACATACTTAAATGCAGAAACTAGAAGAGGAGCAACAAATATTAGAAGAAAATTCACAAAAAAACATCAAACAAAAAAACAATGAAATCGAAAGAGAAGGAGGAAGGAACAGAAGGCAATACCGCAAAAGAGGAGAGCCGCGTCGTGATGTTCTTCGCAGACCAGACGATCGAGAGCCGTCCTTGTTCTTCGCAGACCAGACGATCGAGAGCCGTCCCTATTCTTCGCAGACCAGACGATCTAGAGGCGTCCCTGTTCTTCGAAGCTTTCAATTCAACAGTGACGTGAACTTGCTTAGCAGAGAATCAACATCGCTCCAGGATTCTTAGAGATCGATGGGTTTCAAGGATAGAGGGAAGTGGGTCTCTAACTCTATCTAGGGTTACGTTCTTGCTGATCGATGACTTTCAATTAGGAATAGAAGAAAGGTGCGTAGTGCAGTGGGTCGCTAGGTCTAAGTGTTAAAGGTTTATTTTGACCAAAGTATAATAATTTGGGCTAATTGAGTAATATGAAAAAAATAAGTGGATCGAAAAGGGGAGGTTATTAAAAATAGATGGCGAGAATAAATTTTGTTGAGGGAAATCATGAAAAGTAAATATTTTATAAAGGTTAAAATTCAGCACTTCTTTAATTAATTGTGTCAATATTATGTATTGATGTTTTAGTGTCACATAACTATGACACTTATATGTTAGTAATACTATATGTCGTTTATCAGTGACACTATTTAAAAAAGTGTCACTAAAAAAGTGTCACTGTAAAGTAGTTTTCTAGTAGTGTCATACTGTAACAACTCCTCCTCATCCGGAACCACCTTCATGCCTGGAAGCAATTTGTGAAAAGTTTCTATGTCCATATTATTTTTCTTTTATCGGTACTTGTTTTTATTTTAATTCAAGTAAGTATGGTTGGAGTGTTTTGATTTTCAAGAACTTTTGACAGGGTAGGTAATGCTCCATTTTCGCTCATTTTAGGCTTAATCTTTCCCGTTTTGTGTCTAGTGAGTCAGATTATTTTTTATGTGTGGCTGACTCTATTTCTATTTCTAGGGTTTACGATCACATCTGTAATAGCTGTCTAGGTGTTGGCTTGCATATTATCTCTATATTTATAAAATCCGTTTATCATAAAGAAAAAAGATTATGTTCAACATTATGTCATAGTTGCCATAAAAGTCTCATAATAACTTTACTCGCTTTTTTGTTCGTAAATTTCATTTTAGTACATTTTAGGGAAAAATTCAATAAAACATCTCATTCATAACCATTATCCTAAGGGAAAGCTCTCGGAATAGGAGTAAATAGATTTTATAATTTCGTAATAGGACTAGTATGTTTCTTCACGAAATATCCGTAAAATGGCAACATATATTCACTTTCACCTTGGAGTTATTAGTATCAAAATAGTTAGAGTACTATACATTAATATGACAGTATTTACTGTCAACAATGACAATATTTTTCAATCATGACAATAATGACTCTTACTTCTAAACAAAACATAACAATCTTATTTTGGAATTTCAGAACGTCTTTATTCCTATTTAAGGCAATTCCTCTTCTAAAGGAAAATTCTCTAAAAGTCTCGTAATGTAAATTTAATAAGTTCTCCTTCTCTAAAGATCATTTATCATCACTCGTCAATTGAATCAGCACACCCGTTGGACTATCAACCTTCATTACAGAAAAAAGGATGACACTCCATCTCTGAAGGCCCCCAACAACAACCCGCGTTAGATGGGAGGATTCAACCTTCATTACAGATGAAATATCATGGGAAAATATGTACTTTTCTGCCACTAGCATTTCGAAGGCAATCACCTACATCTTATCAAGCATTGTGCAGTCAAGATCGGAATCATGCATGCGTGTTTTGCCTAGCGCGCGAAAATATATTAGGATCCACTTATTTGAGATTCATATTGATTGTTACGATCATATCCATTCACAGGCAACTAATTAAGCACCTCCAATGAAAGCTATGTTATGTAGAGTCGAGATCCAGATTTGCTTTTGCAATATAGAAATTGCTCTAAATAGGAGCAAAAACGTTTTGAAATTCCAAAATAGGAGTATTATGTTTTTTATTCCCTCAATAGGAGTAATCTGCCAAGTTTGGAAAAAATGCCATGATTTTAAGCTTAGTAATGCCAAACTTGGCAGAAATTTACTCCTATTCAAGAAATAAAAAACATGATACTCCTATTTTGAAATTTCAAAACTTTTTTACTCCTATTTAAGAAATTCTCTCTTTGCAATAATTAATGTAGTGATTTTAATGATACTCACAACAATCTGTCATATTTTTATCCATAATTTATACGGAGTTACACTGTATACATCAGATCTGTTAGAGGATTGTTAGAGAATTTTGACATAAAATTCATCAAAATTCATAGAAGATTTGACATATATACATCATATCTGTGTCAAAAATATTTTGTCACGAGTAATTTTAATGAAATCATCGATTAATTTGTATTAACCCTATAATGTTAATCAATATATAAGGAAGTTAAAATTTTCTACTCACGCTATTTTTTACGGACCACGATGATCTTGTGATTATGTAAATGCAATCACCTCCATGCGGAGTTTGTGGACCATAATTGTGGACATCACTATTATTTAGGTGTTTTTTATTTTTTCTAAAGTTTTTAAAATATTTTATTAATTTTTTACTTTTTTATTTTATTTTAATTTTTCCCGAATTTATTATTAATTTATAATGATTTTTAAGTTTTTTGTATTTTTTCATAAATAAAACTATGATTTTTTTATTAATAAATAAATCTATTTGAAATTATAGGAAGGTGATAGAACTGGAAGAATAGACATATATTACTCCTATTTTGAGAATAAAAAGATTATAGCATTGTTGTGGAGTTACTACTTTTGGTCCCATTTAGAGCTAATACTCGTAGTATTATACGAAGTAATAACTAAAGCATCAGTAATAACTAAATAACTTTTGGTCCCATTTAGAGTTAACTTCTACACTACTATTGAAGGCAAGAGCAATTGAGCTCTAGGGATCAGAGAATCGCCATGGATAACTCATTCCGAATTCACATTTTTTGTAACTTGATGTCAATTCCGGCCTCCCATAAAGGGAGAAATTTAACTTGAACCATTATATTCCTATTTGTCTTCGAATTTGTTTATTCGTTTCTTTATCTACTTTTGTAACTCATTACACCATTTATCCCCACATGGATTTATACATATTCAATTGGATTCTGATTGACTACTTCTAATATGAGACGTAAATAACATTGGGATTTCGAGTACTTTTGAAAAAAGAAATTCGCTGATGTCAGTATATATATATATATATATATATATATATATATATATATATATATATATATATATATACACACACACACACACCATAATAGATGTGTTATACAAGACCAAAGTGATTGAAGTTTAAAATATTATCTAATATACTCCGTATGAGATCATGATCTTTTATCGAATTGATTGAATCCATTAAATCTGTTGAAATTTATGAAATTCCAATTGAAATGATTGAATGACTGAATCTGTTGAACTATGAAAAATTTATATTTACAATATATTTTATTAATAAAATATCATGAAAAATAGCTTAAGTTGTACTCTACAATAACTGAAACCAATTAAGCAAGAAAAGTAACTTCAACCTCATTAGTTTAATTTGGTTATTGTTCAATTCAGCATGCGAAATCAAAAACTAAACAGACTCGTAAGCTCACGTTTTTATTATAGAGATTTTTCTTGAAATATTACTAATAAATATTTATGTACAAACATGTGACTAATTCATAGGCAGTACTTCTTTATAGTCACTATTATGTAACTTTCAATTAATAAGTCACATTAATAAGTCACAAACATGTGGCCATATATTAAATATGAATTATTTCTGTTATATATAGTACAGTTGTAAATGCTTAGTATATGATTAAAATCAATTTCATATATAAGATTGTAACTTAGTTACTTCTAGTAACTATAATTATACTCCCTCCGTCTCAAAATTAACTTTTCACTTTTTTTTCAGGCAGTCCCCAAATTAACTTCTCACTTCCTTATTTGACAAATTATCTATATCAAAACAATGCAAAACAGTGCAAAACAGTATCAAAACAGTGTCAAAACAGTAAAATAATTTACCCCCTAGCAAATTTATTTTCTTAATATGTCTGAAATCTAAGTGCGAAGTTTTCGGGACGGAGGGAGTATTTACTAAATATGCTCATATATATTCATTCCAGTAACATTTCGCGACAAAATTTATTTAGTAATACTCGTGAACCACTTTGATAAGGACGGAATTAGCATTTATATTAAGGGTCCTTCTACTGTGCCTTCGGTATTTAGAAGTGTACGGGTACTGACCACTAAAAGGAAGAGGCGTGTAAATTTTGACCAGAAATAAAATACTCCATAATAAGTTTTGCGCTCCACTGAATCACAGAGGTACCGGTGCTACTTGAATTAACAAAGGCACCATAGAAATCTCCTTATATTAAACACTTCATAATAGTCAACAATCAACAATATTAAATTCCCATAGGTTCGATATTTTAAACGTCCCTTAAAATCTATTCATCTTTTAAAATCTCTTATTGTATACTCTCATGGGCTTAAAAAATATAATGTCTCTTACTTGTAAAAAATAGAATTGGTTTCAAACATTATAATAAAATAAAAATATATTTATACAAATATATATATATATATATATATATATATATATATATATATATATATATATATATATATATATATATATATATATATATATATATATATATATATATATATATATATATATATATATATATATATATATACACACTAACCAAGCATTCCGACCCAGATGATTATGAGGTTACCGTGTCTAGTGGGAGGTCTTGAATTCGAAACATACTAGATACATAAGGGTTTTAAACTCAATTAAGTGAGTTTCAACATGATTACTCCAAAGCCCCGTTCCCTCTCCAAGATCCTAGAAATACCAGCAATGAGTGTCAACGAAGGGTCAAAATACGTGTTGTGTATTCCGAAGCAAATGCGATCATCAAAAGCTGGCAGCATGCGGTTTGGGCTCCAACAGCCAAATGTTCGACCTCACTGGCCCATCCATTTACACATATTTGAACTGATATTTACGTGTCATGTATGCTTTTCAAACCCCTTTTCTTATGCTTTATGCAACCTTATGATTGAAATCTTGCGAGTTTATCACCATTACTTTACGTGCATCAATATTATTCCTATTATACTATGCTAAAATATAAAAAAGTGCATTATTATACCTCCCATGAACTAAGCGTATAATAATATATCGTATTTATTGCACACATTCAAAAATTGTCACTTAATATATAATTTCAATGATACATGTTTATGTGATGGATCATCTTCATGTACGTTCCCATTGTAGTATCCATTTTTTAGGACAAGGACATTTTTGAAGGAAATTTGTCAAATAAAACATTCTGTTATTTTAAACCCATTACTTAGACTACACTAA